CTTATGCATAGTTACTTTTGAAATTAGGAAGAGCTTCATATTATTCCTCTACGGCAATAATCTAAAATTCTCTTTAAGCTGGAAAATCCAAATGTCCCTTAAGCAGGAGATTCTGCATTCTCTAAGGTATGGCATTTTAATTTTCTATTCTTTATTGAATGGGACCTTGGCTGAAGCTGTTAGAGTAGCAGACATAGTATGCAGAATCAAGTGTTCACTTTCCAAAAGTTTAATCAAATTAATTCTTGCAGCGACATCATGCTCAAGAGACGTCGGACTTCTAAAATGCACAAGGAATCTGCCAAAAGGTACCTAAATATAACTGAAATTGATAATAAGTCCTTGCAGTAAGTAGGCGTAGTTCCAAGACACTTTTAATTATTAATAATATTTGCATATTCTAGGTAACCTGCTTAGATTTGGTTTCTCACCGTACAAACATTTTTATGCAAAGTAATTTTTAGACCAAAAAAAAAAAAGTATTTTTGAAAACTTGCCTAGTTAGGGCTTCGTGGCTTCACGGCTTCACATTTTACTTTCTTTACAATGAGCCCAAAACTTGTACTATAAATCTAAGAGTTTTACTTTCAGTTCACACAAATGCTCAACAAATATTAAATGAATCCATCTATAGTTCTATTTGTCCTGTACTAGTTTGAAAAGTATATCCTGACTCACACGCTGACAATATAGTCTTCAATCTGTAACTACCAAATTAAATGCTATGTGATATGCTCTCATCTGAGATGATAAGCAATTGAAAATTTTGAGGTGAAAAATGTTTTGTACAATGCTATCAACATATTTCACTCCTTTAGTGACACACACACAGAAAAACCAAACCAAAAAAAAAAATAAAAAAAACAAACCTACAACAAACCTCAAGCTCACTGCCAGGAAGTCTGTTTTGCCTCAGAGTGATCCTCCATCGGGTTTTCAAGGCTCTAAATTACATGGGAGGAAACTACTCAGTTTTCTCCTAAGGAGTTGCTGGTGGGTTTCATCTATTGGAGACTAAGTCTTTGTGTTAGTAGTGCACCTTGCTAAGGACTACACCTCCAGAATTCCCTTTCAGGGACACTGTTGTTGTTGTGTACCGTCGAGTCGGACCCAACCCTCCAGTGGGCTTTCAGAGGCAGTTAATCACATTGGAAGAGACTACCCATCGTTCTCCCGCAGAGCAGCTGGTGTCCTCAAACTGCATGCCTTCGGGATTGTAACGCAGCTTCTTGCCACTAGGCCACCAAAGCTTTAGGGATCCTAGGACATATAAAATGGGAACAGACAGATGGTTTGGCACCACTTCCTTATTTAATAGATAAGATTTAGTTTGATGGCCTGTAAAAAACCAATTTTAAATAGTCTTAAATGATGCTCATATTCACAATTTATACTACTTTGAATACTTAAATTCCATACTAACAGGATTTGTGAATTTTAAACATTAAACATCAGACTAGAAAATTAAAAATCTTTTGTTTAAATAGTCTTTTTTATATACTTTATATTATTTTCATTTATTTCATTTTAATATAAACATGTGTGTCAAATGCTTCAAAGGTCTGAAGGGAGAAAAATCTCAGTTTTGATAAAAAAAATAAAATCACTGTATTACGTAGTCTTACATACACAGATGTTCACATCAAAAGAGGAACTCTGGGGTAAGGAGCTGCACCGACAACCCAAAGGCAGGAGGTTCAAATCCACCAGGTGCTCCATGAAAGAAAAGATAAGCAAACTCCTTCCATGTGATTTGCCTCTGAAAACCCCATGGAGGGACAGCTAGGAGTCAGTTCTGACTTGATGGTACACAACATCGGTATTAAAGAGATGAATCAATTACATCTAAATGAACTGTATAAGCATCCCTAACATAAAGCTTAAGGAGCCTTGGTGGTACAGAGGTGAAACTGTTAAATGGCAGGATGGTGGTTTGAACACATTTGCTGCTCTGTAAGAGAAAGATGTAGTTCGCGTCTGTAATGATCTCATTCAGCCTGGGAAGCCCGGTGGGGAAGTTTGAGTCTGTCCTATCAGGCTGCCATGAGTTGGAATCAAATGGATAGCAGTGGGTTTGGTACAGGTAAAATAATGCTTAAATGCTTAGGAAGGTGTAAAAATACCCCCTAAAGATAAAGTTCCATAAACACACAGAGAAACAGTGATCACAATAGTACTATTTTTAATTCAATATAAACTATGGTGATATATATTGTTTTCTATGTGCTGTTTTCCTCACAGTCTCTAGTCAGAGCAAAGCAAATACAAATGAGTTCTTGCCAACCATTAGGGAAGATTGACAAAAATGCAGTGTTAATGACATCTTACGGCTTTTAAAAGCCAGAGAGAAAGATGCAAGAAAAGCAAAAATTACACAGTAATTGGAAACAACGAATAAATTGTTCTTTCAATCTAAGTCATGTTTACTGGGGGAAAAAAATGGAGCTTTTTACATCAACACATTTAAACAGAAATTTGCTTCTGAAATACAATCTTTGTTTAAAAGGTACAGAAGGTCTTTATGTCCACCCCAAGAGCTAAATATAGTGAATGCTATGGGAACAATTACCTGAAAAAAACTTAAACCTGTTAAAAGAATTAATTTACTGCACACCAGTCGGCACTAATCCTACATGTACAGAAATGTTCTTTTAAGTGATGGGGAAGGGGGAGGGAGAAAAGGAAACTCTTTCCTGGATCAAAACCGTCAACAACAAAATGGAATTATGATTGGGCCTGTAAATGAATAAAGTGGCAAAATGTCTTGCAAACAAATTTCTGATAAAGGAATCAACCAGTAAAGGAATACATTTACTGTACACTGGGACTGGAAAAAGCTGTCGCTGTAATGGCTGTGCAGACCTGTGTCCTGCTGTTGGGTTTATGTTCACACAAGAAAGGTTTTAAAGGTTAAGTTCAGGTCATACAACAAATGAAATTGTAACAAGCCAGCTGACATTGTATAATGTCTTCTTCCACTCAATCAATAGGCTACTGTTAGTCCTATTACCATAGAGATGGCTTGCTCCTTTCTGAAGGGTGTCTATTGTTTGACAAAACAGATTTGCCACTTGAACTAGGTTGTTCCCAAAGGACGTGTACCTTGTCAATTATTTGTATTCAAAATAATGAAGTATTTTCATATTAAAATGTACGGAAAGAAGATAATATTGTTTAGGTTCCTTTTCTGCAAAAAAAAAAAAAAGGGACAACTTTTGACTTTCAAAATACTATAATGCTAAAATAACTCAAATATCCATCCAGTTTAATCATATTAAGAATTCTTCTTTAAAACACATCACAGCAAGCAGGAAAAAAAAATCTTTATGACTATATATTAGAATGATTTCTGGCTAGTATGTGACTCTAAAGCTCATTATAATCAAGAATATCAAATAATAAAAGCTATTCCAATATGTGAACAGTTCAAATGAAAATTATTGTCCAAAGTTACATAGATTCTGTAAAGATGGTCATTTTATACATGATTTTTACATTAATTTACAATTAATATGTTGAAAACCATGAAAAAGTTTTATAAAGCTAATCATTATATTTGTATAGTAGCTAGCTATTTATATGTATATATCTTTACAAGTATACATTATATAAGGATTTTATAAAATAGATACAAATATTGTATGAAGTATCAACAGAAATAAAAACATGGGTTTTCTTAAAATATCTCTATCTTAAAGTATCTTGAGAAAATTAATAACTCATACATTACATAACAAACAGGTAAGTTCTAAATTTCAACAGTGTTTTAAAAAAGGTCAGTTTTTCTCTCAGTGGAAACACTAATATAGTCTAATCATAAGAGACTTATAAGGAATAATTCTAAAAAGAATTATTCTAAACATTTTCATAAAGAAAGTGTTCCTAACACTAATCAGCGAAGTGATGTCATTTTTCGTATCTCACGTGAAGACCTCGCCATGACTGAAAGTCTCTACAGCTGAAATAGAACAAATTAAATTATATAAACATTTAATGATTAACAACTGTAATAATATCAGCATCTGGAAGCTTTCAAAAAAAGATTTTAAAGCATGTTTTGGAGAAAAAGCAATGCTAGTCTTTACCTCTCTATTAAAATAAGAAGGAAATTTAGGAGGAATTCTAAGAAAAATAAGTCTCCAAAAGTACATTCGAACTTATGTCTATTCAAATTATAATGTACTTACAAACAAATACTCTTTGTTTTTGGAATAAAATCTGTAACAGTTTTTTGAGAAGTGTTAAAATTTTTTCTCTTGGAGGAAAACAAAATTTTTATATTTTTACTATCTTCTTAGGCATAAGTTTGAATGAGTTAAGAATGTGGAAGACGGAAACATCAAAGACCAGTGAGTTTAGCAATATCCTAAACTAATGATAAATTTTCAAAACACAGGAGTACCTTCCATCTAAGAAAGGTTTCCACCAATGAAGTAAGCAGGGTCTAATTTGTCCACCTTACTTAGAACTATATGGTACAAAGTGAAACATTACTAAAACCATATTAAAAATTTACTTCCTCTATTAATGCTATCACTTTTAAAAAAAAAACCCTAAGTTCATGGTTAGGATACAACATAATTAGAAATATCCTCTGTTGGACCTGAGAGGCAGCTGCCCATCAGGGATACTGTGATTCATTAAAAAATATTTACCATTTACCAAAAGATGAATTTCATATTGTTAAATTAAACGGGCCCATCTGCATCTTCATAAAATGACAAACCTCATTAGTTCTGCCTAACCAGAGAATTGTGATAATGAGCTGGTGACACCTTCACGCCACTGTACGCAGCAGAACCAACTGTGTAATCATCTGACAGGTCAAGTGCATATGAGTCAAATGCATATGAAATGACTGTAAATTTGAGAAAAGGATATCACATGAGTTAAGAAAACCATTAAAGCAACATCCCTCCCCCCCTTATAATCTGTTTGGGCCATAAGCACACTTCGTTTCCAATTACTTAAAATTAATTTGAGCTTACTGAGGATTTTACCTGAAAACAGTGAAAAAAAGTAACGATGCAGCTACTGCTCCAAATAAGCCGCAGAGCAGATTGACTCGGTAGGCAATGGAGCCAAAAGGAAACAGAACGATTGCCAGTTTAGCCACCAGAGTGAACAAAGGGTAGCCAGGAGGATGGGCAACCTACGGAAAAAGCAGCAACAGTTAGGAGGTTCTCATCTAGTAAAGGGACAGTCACACTGACTTTAATTGTAAAGTAACTCTTTTACTCAAACAAGTATAATGATTAAGCACCAACACCTAAATGTTTGGACAGTGGTTTTCCATTGTAATCCTCTTGTGCCAATACAAACAAATATTTTCTTTAGTGGATTTGGCAGCATCTATTAGATGGTGCATTACCTAGAGAAAGGGTGACATATTTCATTGTCAGTCCTTAAGCAGTTTGTTCTCTGGGTTCACAGTACATTAGGGTCATTGAAAAGGCTACTGGGGGGGAACAGGTTCTAAAATACCATATTGGTTAGAAAGTTGAAAGACCACACTGCTATCGGATTACCACCACGCTGACAGTCCTAAGGTCTTGCCTAAAGGGATCATGCACCATAATAAAGTTTATTAAATAATAAACTTATTAAAGTGTTAACCCGATTTATTTTATTCTCCACAGCTTATACAAAATTTGGGGTGATAATAAGCCAGCTACTGTATATATAGTAAAGGCTTTGCTTTATAATTTAGTTTAATTGGATTTAAAACTTAAAGTAAATTGTCACGTACTGTACTTATAAGTTAGTAAAAACTGGGGTTTGAAAATAAATTAATCTACTTTACTCCATGCTTAATTAAACTTTCTTAATTCCTAAAACTGTTAATGAGAGCATTGATTAAACAATAAAACGAATACTTACTCCAAGCTCATATGCGGCTGTGATCAGTTCCCCTGTGAAAAAATAATGTAAAACCAATAATTACTATTAGAAAATGACACTCCTCCAAAGTTTTCCAAATCCAAATGCTTGCATTGGGGTTTTGCATTAATTTGACTGGATAAAACTGCAAATCTGTAGAGATTTAACAGCATGAAATAGTCTAAGAATATTTTCTCCCTTAGTTCTTTCTGAACAAACTATCTTTGATAGTTTTTAATAACTGGTCAATGGAAATAAAAGTTTGATTTAAAAAAAAATGCTTATTTTTCCCTCCTAAAAGAATTGTATTCATTTGCAGTCAGACAATTATTGTTTTGAAGCCTTAGTGCAACATGATAAAATATCCCCCAAGAATTTAGCACAAAGTCATGTATGTATAAATGTATGCTATGAGGAAGTAAAAGTATGCTTTTGAAAATGTATAGACATTTATGTACTACTTATAAAATGTGCCATGCTACTCCTAACTCTGACATTTACCCTGGAATAAATTTCAAGTAACTCCAGGTTACTGTTAATTTTATGTCAGTATGTTTTTTAAATTATTAAATCATTATCATTATAGTCTTTCTCTTTAGTTCATGGTTAGTAATAATTTCTAAAATTATTATGCAATAATCCAATATCTATTTGTGAAACACCATATTAGGTATTCAGAGCACAGGTATTATTTTTGCTTTATCCCTATACATTGTAATGTGTACATGCAATGGGCCATCAACCAACACTGAGAAGTGATTTCTGAAAGTTGGCAGGATTATTTCAAAAGGTAGTATTTCGAAATGTGTTCATATTCCTTTTCACTCTTCTATGGGTATCAGTAGTCGTCATTTCTACAGTGTTTATAATTAAGACCTTATGCTCTCAAGCCTAGTTTACACAGTAATAAACGTGACCAATATCCTGCTTTAACTCGTCTGCATTAAAATCACTTACTACATACCCCCACGCCTTGGAAGAAGAAAAATATAAAAGAAATATCTTAGGCAAAAATATGTTGTTGGCTGTTTTCTGCTTGAAGTGTGAGGTGCAGACCCCTCTGCATGCCAGGCAAGCTTTCTGTAGCTTCGAGGTCCCTCTTCTAGGCAGACAGCCAGGAAGTCTGCCTGTGCTTCTCTAGTCCAGTCTGATCACCCACCACTCCTCTGCAGCGCCTTTCTCATGTACCTGTTAACACTCATTTTCTCACTTTGGAATATGTCCCTCAGCATCCTCCTCTATCTCCTTCAAGGGTTAGTTCAATCGCCACTTCCTCACCACCTCCCTTAAACACTCCCTCTCCTGCCTTCCCTGGCAGTGTGAATTCTTCAGCCTTTTCCAGAATCACATACAAGCCTTTCAGTTTAGCATTTATTTAGCCTTTACAATTATTTTACAATGACAACCAAGAGAGAGCTACGTTGGCCTAGTGGAAGGAAGCTGTGCTACCAAGCCGAAGGTGGGTGATTGTCATCTGTGGCCCTCGGCCAGGTTCAAATTGTCTTCCTGTCAAACATTCTTCTAGGTGGTATAGCACTGGTCTGTGCGTTGCTGTGCAGAGGTAACTCGTGGTTGCTGTGATGCTGAAGCCTGTGACAGTGATGTGCCAAAAGTGGTAATGGGCACCCATGGTGGACAGTGTTGGCTGGAGCTTCCCGACTAAATGAAGCCTGGAAGCAGGAGCGGCATCCACTTCCAAAATGGCTTGCCTCCGGAAACTCTATGTACGAACAGTGCTCAGGCTGTTCGTTCATAGGGTCGCTATGAGTTGTCTACGACTCGACGGCATTAAACAACAAACAATTATTTTGGTTAGTTTTCATTATTGTCTCTTCTACTAACTTAAAACATTATGCTACCACGTCTAGTTCACTTCCTCTCACTCCTGTTGTTATGTATCTTCAAGCCCAAACTGACTCATACCTGACCCTCCAAAGGGTTTTCTGAGGCTGTAAATTGCCAAGGGGGAGAATGTCTGGTGCAGCCGGTAGATTCAAACTACACACCTTGAGCTGGGCAGCCCAACTCCCAGTACTAAGCCACCAGTTTCCCTAGCTACACATAAAAGACAATTCACATCCTGCATAGTGTTTTACAGAAAAGCATCACATTGTTAACCCTGTCACTGAGGCATAGCACTCCCCCTCCAATCTGAAGCAAGAATGCCTGCATCATGGAAATCTCAGATTACTGCGTCCTTCAAATCTGGCTCATAATGACCCAGGAGACAGAACAGAACAGGAACAGAACAACCCCACAGGGCTGTAATCTTTATAGAACAGATCACCAGGCCTTTTCTCCAAAGGTTTGAACCACCAAACTTGCTTTAGCAGACAAGTATTTAACCATTTGCTCCTAGAAGCCCATCAGAGTACCGAGTCAGATATTGCTCCTTTATGTTAATTATTTAAGAACATCCTTCAAGTCTTCTGAAGAGGTTAAGAGCATCTTGGAAACTAAAGGTACTTTTTATATACTACATATTTTTAAAACAGTAATGGCCTAAAAATGTTTAAAAAGGGTGTTCTCTTTCTAGCCACTAACAACGATAAGATTTTAAAGTTTTTGCCCAGAATGGTTAAAAAGCATTGCTGTTGAGTTGATATCATCTTATAATGAACCTTTAGGACAGTACAGAAGCACTCCATAAGGTTTGGCTTAGTGGTAAGGAATTGCACCACCAACACAAAGGTACACGTTTCAAATCCACCAGCTGTTCCATGGAACAAAAGATGGACCCTCTCTTCCCATGTAATTTACTGCCTCTGAAAACATGCTGGAGGGTCAGCTCTGAGTCGGTTCTGAATAGTACTCATCAACAACATACAACTGAAGCTCACTGCTCTCTTTCTACCTCCAAGCAGTCAACATTTTGATTAGCAGCTGCTTGCTTAAATTTGTTCCAGCCGGGCTTGTTCCAGAATGGTTCGGTGGTTACTGGTGTCGGGTACCTTGGAGTCAGTTCAGACCCATCGGTACAACAGTATGGAGCACTGCCCAGCCCTGTGCCATCCTCCCAACTGCTGCACATCTTGAGTCCATTGTGGCAGCCACTCTTTAGACCTTACTTAATACCTTCAGTTCCAAACTATTTTAACCAGCTTTTAGCTCTTTTATTTCCCTTAGTGTTACAAATTATACCTTTGTAGTTGAGTTGATTCTGAGTCCTAAAGAGCCTACAGAACAAGGTAGAAGAGCCTCAGTTTCCAAGGCTGTTATTTTTATGGAAGCAAACTGCCATGTCTTCCTCTGTAGGAGGAGAGAATGGGTTTCAAACACTTATCCTCTAGCAGCCAAGCACTTCACCACTCTATCATCCGACCTCTGTGCTATGAAATGAAAAATTTCAAAATCACTATCAGTGAGTGAGCTCTGGTGGCTTAGCGGTAAGGAGCTGTGCTGGCTACCTACAGCCACATGGTTCAAATCCACCAACCACTTCATAAGAGAAAGACAGACAATGTTCTCCTGTGTGATACACTGCCTCTGAAAACCTGAGGAGGGTCAGCTATGAGTCAGCTCCAACTCAACAGTACACAACAACATGACTAAGTAAAAGCTGGCTCAATGGCACCTGGCAACAATCCTTTTTTATTTAAAACTACGATTCAGAATGACAGGGTGCTCTGGTGGCAGAGGAGATGTGCTGCAATCCCAAAGCCACTTCATTTGAATCTACCTATGTATCGTTCAACTTGATGCCACATAACAATCTAGAACTAAGCATTCCAGGAGTGACCATTAAGTGATAGGAACATTAACAGAGAGACTATTTCCTTATTCTAATAGAGACTACTTTCTCTAACCTCTTTCATCACTAAAAAGTAAGTTGTTATTCTTTATTGGACTTCTGCCGGTATGGAAAAAAATCTGGAAGAAACTGCCATCACCAACTATTGTTGTTGTTATGTGCCGTCAAGTCGCAGGCAACTCATAGCGACCCTATGAAGGAGAGTCCTTGACGCTTGGGTGCCTTTCATCCTCTCTCCAAGTTCATAGGGTTTCCGGAGGCAAGCTATTATGGAAGTGGATGCCACTCCTCCTTCCACCACCAACTATTAGGGAAATGAAAATCTAGATAGAACCTGTACTACTACTCAAAGCCTACAAAAGTATCCTTGATGAACCCTAAAGGGAAATGCTTTTAATGTCTTTATCACATTAATAGTTAATGTGATGTGAAAAAGGAGAGAATGAAGAGGACACTGAGTATCTTGGTCCCTTGCTTTCTCCCTCCCGGGTAGTGTTTTCCTCAAAGCTCTATGACTGCTTATGTCAGAACTACCTGGGCACTTTCTAGAGTGAACCAATCCTTGACTACACCCTCAATCTACTTAATCCCGTAAGACTCAAGCTTCCAATGCATTTTTTCCCCTAACACATTTCTGAAAGTATACTCAAGCTCCAGAACCACTGCTTTGCAACAGCTGTCAGATATCCAGTTTAAAAAGCAAAAGCTCACTTTGTATTATACATTTAACATTAATTACACTAGTATATGCTATCAAGTCTGCTGCAACAGTATCTTCAACATAACATAAACATGTATAGAAGCCGATTTATTTACGCCAGGAATAACAAACAGAATTCTAGATTTCTACCTTCTGTCTCCAAAGGACTGAGTATTCTTAGTTTTGCTTTTAATGAATTAAATATGGTAGACTAGTGAGTCTTTTCAATTATTTCCCAAGCATCAGAAAATTGGGAAATGAGTAAGGATGACAGAGGATAAACTGAAGCTTCTGAGTTGTGGTGCTGCCTCTGAGATGTGGTGTTGGTGAAGAGTACTGGATATCCCATGGACTGCCAAAAGAACAAGTCTGTCCTGAAGGAAGTTTAACGAGGGCGCTCACTAGAGGTAAGGATGGTTACATGTCATCTCACATACATTGGGCATGTTGTCAGGAGGGGTCAGTCCTTGGAGAATAGCTTGAGGCTTGGAAAGGTGGAGGTTTCAGAGAGGAAAACCCTCAACAAAGCTGTAACGACATAACTGAACACATCAGAGATTGTGAGGACAGCGCAGACTAGGGCAAGGCTCAGATCTGTTCGTAGGGTTGCTAAGAGTCGTCATCTACTTGACGGCATCTACCAGTAACAAATTATATGGTGTCAAAATAAGTTTGACAAGGGTACGCTGTGACGAATTTCAAGAGAATCTAAAGACCTATCAGAATAATACATGCTTCATACTGGTTTTGTGATGAGTTCTGTTTATTGATAGAAAATATATTTCATGGAAACAAACATTTAACAAGTACAATGAACATACAAATAAAATTACCAAGGGCATGATTATGTGAATTTCCCATATTGGTATATACTTGGGCACCAATTTTTAGTTTGGAAAAAAAAAAACACAACTGAACACAATATTAGAAGCAACTACTCAGTGTCAGAATAAATTTGAAAAGCTTGGTAATTTCAGGTAAATACATAATGTCTGTCTTCAGGAGGAAAATGAAATACATAATTAATAGAGGCAGGGCAGCAAACTTAAGGACATCAAAAACCAGCATGCATGTGACAGAAAATTTAACATGTCATTAAATTCTTTGAAAAAGCATAGAGGTTAACAGAATATATTTTAAAATCAATCTACTTTTCCCCCCTCTTAACTGCCATACTTATTTCCCACAACTGTCAAGCCAATTCTAAGTTATATAAGTAACCGCACAGGGATTATGAGGTGGTAAACAACAGGAGGAGAGTGTCCATCTTTCTCCTGAAGACTGCCTAGTGAAATTGAACCACTAACCTTTTGATTAACATTCTGTCATGTAATGCATTAAATCTCTATCCTACTAATTAGCTGTGGGCACATGGTTAGGTGCTGACACGTGGTCAGAGTAGGAACTGACTCCCAGTGACCAACAGAATGAATCCCTGCTGTGTGTAACCCACATGAATCTTCTGAGATTCCAATAGTTGGGAGGGTTAAAGAAAAGAAATCCATGCAAAGCATTTCGAAAAGAGACAGACACACACAAAGTGTTCACCTATCCACTTCCATATTTAGGCTCAATTGTTCCCGAAAGGCAAGTATCAATTATGCTTTGAAAGTTACACTCTAACCTAACCTCTGAGTAATACTCTCCAATGTCATAATTCTCACAAAGTTACTTCTGGTGCTTAACATAAACCTTGAAAGCATATGTCATTCCACCCTTATCATACTAATGGAACACAATTTCTGTTACTCCACTAGGTTCTGACTGAAAGGACACGATGATATGGATATGGAAGGTCAAGTATCCTCAATGTGGTAGATCTTGAAGTGTGACTCACTGACTGCCAAGGTCGGCTACTGTCTCTTTTGAAGTCCATTCCTTATGACTATGGGATGAATGTAATGACGTGCAGAAATTCCAGGAATAAAATAAGATAGAAGCAATGGGATATCCCTTCTGAAACTGGATTATAAAACAACAGTGACATCAGATTTAGGTAAGACTTAGAGCAGCCCAGATATTCTAGGGGAAGACCACATGACAAAGAAACAGATGTCACCAGACTGAGCCCACCAGACTAAACGTGGATGACTTCAGCCCACACTCAGATTAACAACCTTGCGAGAAACCCTTAGCCAGACCAAGCTAAGACACACCCACATTCCTGCACTACACAAAAGGTGAGCCTAAAAAAAATGTTGGTGTCAAATTCTGGAGCAGCTTGCTTTGCAACAAAGTTAACAGACACATTGTTTCTTCCTCATTTAAACTACTTTGATTTACCGCAAAATTACTAGCCATTACTAGTTATTAATAGTAGTTAATTGGAAAGGAAAACAAAATATAAATAAAATATAAAACTACTGTAAATAATTGCCATGGCTCATGATTGTACTTTTTAATTAAAGCAAGCTGTTTTAAGCCTTATCTGACATCCACTCTTAAGTGTTCTACTAGAAACTCGTGCATGGTCGGTTCTGTATTTGTCGTTCAGCAGAAATGCGATCTCCTAAAGCCCTTTCCTGACTACCCATTCTGAAGGGGGCTCCCACTCTCAATTACACTTTTACGCTTCGTGTCCCTATAATATATATGAGTCCCGTGTAACTTAAGTCATTAAGTAACTTAAGTCCTTAATTTCTCCCTGCACTAGAATATACTGCCCGTGAGTCTTGCATTCTTTCTGAGACACAAGGAGTCAATAAGCATTATCTACTTTACTAGATAATTTACTATCCAAATGAAGGCAGAAACTTAGGGGTCAGAAAAACGGGTCTGAAGAAATGTAAAAGTTAAGATCACGCTAAACCAACAAGCCCCGGCTCCAAAGTCCGAGAATGAAAGAAGCTGAGCGGAAGCAAGAGTTGGTCTGGGAACGTCAAACCGTGCTCGAGGCACAGGCGCGAGGATGAGCTAACCAGACACGAGGACTCAGGATCGGAGCATCAGATCGAACGTCCCGCACAGATCAGGGAGAGATGCTGCACAGGGCCGCTCGAGGACCGAGGGAGAGCCACAGGTGGGAAGACTCTGAAAGTACTTTACCCGAGTCTCCCCCCGGCACCGACGGGGGCAGCGTGAGGGTGAACACCGCAGCCACGGCGGCAAACACAGCGACGCCACTGCGGAGACCCCCGGAGCGCCGTGGCTCTGCCCAGGCAGCCCGCCCCCGGGACAGGTCCCTGCTGTCGCCATGGAGCCTCATAGGCCGCGGAAGATCAGGGAAGGTGGAACAGCGGTTCCCAAAAGTTCTTTAAGCAAACCAACTAGCGCCCCGGTTGAGAGCGCGCGCAGCCCGCGGAAAAGCCGCAGCCACTTCCGGGTCCAGCCAGCGCAGGTTGGATCGCACCATTCTCTCCAAAGATGGGGGGAGAACAACTGCAAAGCCCAGCAAGAGCCAGCTTTGTAGAGCTTACCAGTAATGTCCATATCATGGTGTTTACAACATTATAATGAATTTGAAAAATAGTTATAAGAGTTTATAACTTCGTTAATAAACCGGTATGTTGGACACATCTACCATTTGTATGAGAATTCCCCTGTCGTTCTAACTTGGTCGAATCTGATAGAGAGAAGCAAGGTAAAAAACTGGGAGTGAGGAAGGATATCTACTGCCCTCAGTGGTGTGGGGTGGAATTACACAGAGAAGGGCGAAGAGCTAGCTAAATCCAACCAACCATCGTCTTAGAATTGCTTTTCATAGGCTTCCTGGTAAGACAGAGTGAGCTCAATCATAGAATTTCTAAGGCTGTAATGTTTATGGAAGCAAGCTGCCACTTCTTACTCCAGCAGAATGGTTAGTGTGTTCGAAGTACTGCTCTTCAATTAGTAGTTGTTTACTGTCAAGTCTGAACTGACCCAGAGCTGACCCTTCAGGAGGTTTAGTTAATCACATGAGAGGAGATTGTCCATCCTTCTCCTGTGGAGAAGGTAGTTTGCGACTCATAGCTACCCTGTGTACAGTAACTCTGAAACCTGCTCTATCCTGTGCCAACCTTATTGTCTCTGACACACTTATCCTCATTACCCCAGTCACTGAATCAATCCATCTCATCCTGAGTCTTCCTTTCTTAAACTGTCCCTCCACCCTTCCAAGCATGATGTCCCTCTCCAAGGGCAGATCCCTTGCAACGTGTCCAGAGTATGTCAGATGAAGCTTCAGACTCCTTGCCTCCAAAGAGCAGTCTGGATTAACCCTCTCCATGACAAACTTGTTTGTTCTACTAGCAGTCCATGGTATATTCAATACTCTTCTCCAGCACAACAGCTCAAAAGCATCAATTCTCTATCATCCCTAGTCATTATTCACCTTTCTGATACACAGCAAGTAATTTCAAAGACTATGGCCTGGATCGGGCACACCTTAGTCTCTAGAGTGATATCATTGCTCTTCAGTACTCTGGAGAGGTCCCAGACAGCAGATTTCCCAATGCAATTCATCTATTGATTTCCTGGCTGCTGCTACCAAGAGTGTCTGTGGAGCCAATCAAACTTAAGCTGTTAATCTCAATCTCTTCACCATCTACCATGATGCTATCAATCGGTGAAAATCTTTGTTTTCTTGATGTTGAGCTTCAATCCATTTTGAAGGCTGAAGTCTTTGACCTTCTGCAGCAAGTGCTCTAGGTCCTCCTCAGTTTCAGCAAGCAGGGTTGCGTCCTCTGCATAACGCAGGTTGTTGATGAGTCTTCCTCCAATTCTGATGTCACACTCCTCCTCATAGAGTCCAGCTTCTCAGATGATCTGTTCTGCACATAGACTGAAAAGATTTGGAGATAGTACACATCCCTGGCATACACTCTTCCCAATTTTGAAAGATGCAGTATTTCCTTGCTCTGTTCTGATGACAATCTCCTGGTCCAAGTATATTGTTGCTAAGGGCCATGGAGTCATAGGAGACTCATAACAACCTTATGAACAAAAGACCTGAACACTTGTATAAATTTCATCCTTTCTCTAGGTTCATAGGGTTTCTGGAGGCAAGCTATTTCGGAAGTGGATGCCCCTCTGGCTTCCAAGCTTGTTTTAATCGGGGAGCTCCACCAAACATGTTCACCATGGGTAACCATTATCACATTAGACACAGCAGTGTCACAGTGTTCAACATCACAGCAACCATGAGTTACTTCTGTAGAGCAAATGGACCAACCAGTGCTATATGACCTAGAAGAATGTTTGACCAAAAACAAAGCATGGTTCAAACTCCATGAGCTCTGTCATTCCAAATTCCTCCATAATCACACATTCTCCTTGGCTCTCACCACCCAAAAATGCCCGTCTGGGAGCATTCTGCTTCTTCTTCAATCTCCTCCTATTCTGATGTCACATGTTTCTCCATAGCATCTAATTTCTTGAAATGTTTGTCCACCATATAGACTGAGTACTCATGAGGAAAGGATGCATAGAGAAACAAAAGATCAACAAAAGGCCTGAAGCCTTTCTATAACTATCATCATTTCTCCAAGTTTAAAGACTTTCCAGAGGCATGTGGTTTAGGAAGTGAATGCCAGTCCTGCTTCCAAACTTAAATCAGCCTGGGAATTCCACCAAACACTGCCCATGATGGGTAGTCAATTATGGTGTTTGACAAACCCATGGCCCATTTGTCCATCATCACAGCAACTCTATGTTTTTTCAGTAGAACAAATAGACCTCTGCTGTACCATTCAAAAGAGTGTTCATCCAAAATCAACTAACATTTCACCAATTAACACTGGCCCTCATCCTGCAGGCGTGGCCAAACATTTCAGCATTTCAGAATTCCGGTATGCCTCGGACTATGGGCCAGAGACCCCAAATTCATCTGGCAAGTCCCATCTGCTGACACCCACTAGGCAGGAAAAGAAAGCCATAAGAGCCCCAAGCGTTCCATACATAGCTCTCCTCAAGATGCTAGAAGTCATCCTAAGATCCAGCTTAAACCGATTCACAACACACTAGCCCTCAGCCTGCAGGCATGTCCAAGCACTTCAGTATTTTAAAATTCCAGCATGTCCAAGTATGGGTTTTACATAAGCACAATCAAGTGTTCTGGGATTCCCTTTCTTCTCAGAGTTCAGTTGGTAGAAGTGTGTGTAAAATTGTGAAAACAGGATTCACAACTAAATGTTGTTAGGTGTTATCAGGTTAGTTTTAACTTTTACCACATGAACAACACCTGGTCTATGCCTTTCCCACAGTGTTGTGCTTGAGGCCATTATTGCAGTCCCTGTGTCAATCCATCTCACTGAAGTTCTTCTTATTTTTCTGTGCTTTTTACCAAGTGTGACAGGACTGGTTCTTTCTGATAACCTCTCAAAAGTATGTGACATTCCAAAAGTTGATAGAAACTCGAAATCTCCTCCTCTTTGGCTTTAGCTGTTGGTGCAAATATTTTAATAATATTAACAGGTCTTCCTAGAATGCATATGGATTTGACTAAACATACAATCAAGATACATTAATATTTATTGGCAGCTGGAACACAGAAGTTGGAGAAATGGGTAGTGATATATTATAGCACAATGAACCCTCCACAAGAGTTCTGCACAAGAGATTGGTGGCTCCAACCAAACCAGAGGTAGCTTTAAAGACAGCCTTGAAATCTGCTAGATGACAGCCTAGAAAACTCCATGTAGCAGTTTTCATACTCTACTCAGCATAAATGAAGCTTTCATGACTCACAATCAACCAGGGAATAAATAAAAACAACAGCATAGTAGTGTTGTTGTTGTTGTTGTTTGTTGTTATGTGCTGTGGAATTGTCTATGACTCATAGTGACCCTATATACAACAGCCCTAAACCCTACTCTATCTTGTGCCAAATCTTATTGTCTTTGACACACCTACCCCAATTACTCCAGTCACTGAGCCAATCCATTTCATCGAGAGTCTTCCTCTCTTGCACTGTCTCTCCACCCTCCCAAGAATGATGCCCCTCTCTAAGGACTGGTCCCTCCTTGAAACATGTCCAAAGTATGTCAGACAAAGCTTCAGAATTCTTGTCTCTAAGGAGCAGCCTGGTTTAACCCTCTCTAGCATGAACTTGTTGGTTCTCTTAGCAGTCCATGGTACCCTCAATACTCTTCTCCAGCACCACCACTCAAAGGCATCAATTCTCCTTCTATCATCCTTAGTCATTGTGCAGCCTTCTGATGCATAACAAGTGATTGCAAAGACCATACAGGCACATCTTAGTCTCCAGACTGATATCATTGCTCTTCAGTACTCTGGAGAGGTCTCTAACAGCAGACTTTCACTATGCAATACATTTTTTAATTTCTTGGCTGCTGCTAGCAAGAGTGTTGATTGTGGATCCAAGCAAACTAAGGCTGTTAACCATCTCTTCACCATCCATCACGGTGCTGCAAATTGGCCCACTGGTGAGAATTTTTGTTTTCTTGAAGTTGAGCCTCAATCCTTATTCAAGGCTGCATTCCTTGACTTTCTGCAGCAAGTGCTTCAGGGTCTCCTCAGTTTCAGCAATCACGGTTGTGTTATCTGCATAATGATTCTTCCTCCAATCCTGATGCCACATTTCTCCTCATAGAGCCCAGCCTCCCGGATAATCTGTTCTGCATATAGATTAAAAAGGTATGGGGATAGGACACATCCCTGACATACAATCTTCCCAATTTTGAACCATGAAGTTTTTCCTTGCTCTGTTCTGATGACAGGCTCCTGGTTCAAGTATGTGTTTCTCATTAGCACAATCAAGTGCTCTGGGATTTCCGATCTTCTCAATTAGCCACAGTTTTGTGGTCCACTCAAACACCTTCGCATAGTCAATGAAACACAGATAGACATTGCTCTGATATTCCCTGACTTCAGCTAAGATCCATCTAATATTAGCTACAATATTTCTAGTATCATGGCCTCTTCTACACCCAGCCTGTACATCTGGCAGTTCTCTGTTGATGTGCTGTCCAATCGTTTTTGGATAATCTTCAGCAGAATCTTGCTTGCATGTGATATTAATGATACTGTTCAATAATTTCCACACTCTGTCTGATCACCTTTCTTTGGAATGAGAACAACTATTGCTCTCTTCCAGTCAGCATAGTGTAGTAGTCATAAAGAACAATAGCCAAAATATAGAATTCCCATATAATTCTATTGGGGGATTTTTGTGGGTGTCAAATGTATTATTCTGTTCCGTTTCATGAAATATAAGAATAGGAAAAACAAATTTATAATAATAGAATTTAAAGTAAATATTGACTATTTAGGGA